GGCCCACTGGATGGACGAAGCAGAAGCATCTGCCCTCAAAACGGCTGAAACGAACACCAATCCTCTTGCCAGCATTTTGTCCGAGTAGGTCAGGTGTCAGATAGCCACAAGGAGCAGAGGTTTTGAGCCAAAAGCGTCTGAACGAAACCGAGTCGGAAAGCTTCATCGTGAGCAACTCCTGCCGTCAGTCAGCTGCAATTAGCTGCACCTGTCCGACACAGATTACACGCGCTTAGGATGCTTAAAACCAGAAACCATAATTTGCAGGACCCATGCCTGAGAACCCTGCTAAAGCCCTTTCCACGCCCACAGTGTCTACAATTTAAACAACCAGGCCTGAAGTGTGGAGGATCTGCTCTCTGATCGACCCCGTTTGTGTGAAGATCTTCTTTGTTGTTTGTGCTGATCTTAACGGGCTATCGTTGTTGTCGCGAATCTTAACAGGCTATCTTTCTGATCATGACTCAGTCTTTTCTTGTCGCCTCGGTCAGCAATCCAAAGCTCAATGCCTCAAACATCCTCAGACCCTCTAAAAAAAAACAAATTGTGGCATGGTGCCTCCTGCTCAGCCTCGATCCTTTCTCCATCCTTGCGGAATACATCGGCATCAATGAATCTGCCTGCCTAACAACAGAGCCCACCGGGTGTCATGGTACAGCAGAATATGCTCTAGCGGGATAAGCTGCAATTGCACGACCTACTGTCTGGCACCGGTCTGGGCAGAGTACGAGCGCAAGGCTCCATCCTTCATACTACTTCATAGCAAAAACGAGTACTGTAGAAGCAGCCCACTGCTGACTTCTTGAGCATCTCGCTATTGACGTTGGCTTCATCTTGCAGGAAGATGTAGTGCAGTGTTGTGACGAATCTTAGAGCAACGCATCCCCTTGGTCCGCAAGCAGATTGAGCAAGCAGTTTCTACCAACATGCATGAGTTTGTGCATCACGAAGCGAGACACTCGTGATAGACTACCATCACAAGCAGCTCCCGCCTCCTCCTCCACAGGCAGCGCGTCCGATATTGGAGCCGCTGCTTTTCTTCTTCTTTTTGCCGGCTGAGTGGCTGAGGCACCCTGCAAAAACAGTCAGGAAATGAATCGCTAGCAAGTCAGGTTCATCACGACCCATGTCCGAACCTCTCTCCACTCGCGGAACATGTCCTGGACGGCCCTCAGTAAACGAAAATGCACCATGCACGGCAAAAAACGCTGCGGCACTTCAGGGCAGGGCATCTTCAAGAATTTCCAGTTGCGCGGTGGTCTGCCGATCTGCTCTATGAGCGCAACGGGAATGCACGTGTACTCGTGCCCCTCGCCAAAAGGCGCCATCAAATTCTGGAAAAGCCGTGTGACTTGCCTCAGTGCGCAGCTTCACCCACGGTTGATTCGGGCGGAAGATCGGCAAACTCGACTATGGGTTTCTGCTCCCCTACGCTGAAACTGAACTGTATGCTTGCAGGGCTTACGGGAGTGGGTTCCATTGCGAACCTTTCTACCTCGGTGAGACGTACGGCTGATAACCTATGGTTATCGGCAGAACGCCCAGAATACACACAAAAACGACAGTAGGTGAACAGGCTAGCTACATCTTGAGTAAAATACAAAGCCAAGTCCACCGTTAGAGTTTAGGGCTCGATGCACACCCGGACGCGAGCATCGGAAGCTGAGGGTCTGTCCCAGGCGTGAGCACCGACTCCACGTCTTCTATGGCGCTCCACGCCCGCTGCATGCTCGCCTCCAGCCACTTCTTGGTGAATTTCTCCACCTTGCGAGCCTAAGCGAAACCACAACTCCGTGACATCTGAAGTGAACTCAGGAAGTGCGGCAAAACAGCACCCCTCCCCTTGCTAGCACTCCCTATCAGCAAGCCCGGCACATCGTCCATCGGTCTGGAATCGTCCATAAGCCTTTGCCGGGACATCACAGCACGAGAGGCAGAGAGGCCGAAGAAACCGGCAACTCAGGGGCCCCTGCTCCTCCAGCGCTGTCGCGTGCGTGTTGTAAACTGCTTTGTACACCTGCGAATTGAATCCACGTCGAACTTTGAGGGCTTCATGCTTCCACTCTCTCTCGCATTCCTCTCCGTGGTTCACATTCTCAAGCGTGAGCGCTACCAGTAGGTGGTGCAGGGTTTCGTGGACAAAATCCTGAGCGGCATGTCTTTTCGACCAACGCAGTCCCCTTTCCCACCCGGCGCTCGATGGCCCCTCCGAACGATGAACATTGCCCAAAAGTGGAGGAGACCAGGGCTTCTGCCGAGGATGGGCGGAGGGGCTGGCTGCCACTGACAGAAATAGCGATTTGTTCCGGGGTAATGCCGATAAGTTGCTGAAACGTGGCGTGCTGCATCACTCACTGACACTCAACTTCAAGTGGACTTGTCGTTTCATGCGCAAGGGGTGATACACCGCTGCACTACCACACCACCACCACCACCACCACCACAACCACCGATTGGATACCATCTGCCCTTCCACCCCCCGCCTTTCTACCTCTCTCTCGCGCTCTCGGGGCCTTCGCTCGGATCGCTTCGTCGCGGAAGGTCAACGCTATGGCGTCCCACACTCCCTCCCGAAGGCAGGAGATGTCGATCCATGTCTCGCCATGTTGTGATGCCTATCTCTGCCTTGGTTAACAGCGTCTTGTCCAAGTGGTTCTCGAACTCACGCACTACGTAGTCCTCGGAGTGAGCCATCGCCAGACATCTTCCGAAGCGTGAGAGCCCAGTCAAGCTTGGCCTGGACGTCTTGGTAGTGGGCTGCAGGCCTGTTTCTCCTGTGCCATCCAGACTTCTGACAAAGCCTCACAGTCCCAGACCGAGTGCTGGGCATTTGCAGGAGCTCCCAGACCGCAGAGGTGAAGGCGTTGCCCAAACCAAGCTGAGCAAAGCAATGCAAAGCATTTCAGCTCTTACCTGCCTTCGGTGCCATCTCAAGTCCTGCGAAGGGGGCCTGCCAAAACCAGGTTCGCTCGCCGCAGGCTGCATGGTAACTGGACATCCCGTGGCTGACCACGGTCCTAGCCACCTGTTCAGCCACGAGCATCGGGACATATCGGGACTTGGAACGTGAAACTTCGAAAGTCGTAGGGCACCTCTTGCCAAGGCTGGGTCAAGAGCTCGGGAGCCTGACGGGAAGAGTCGGAAGAGGCATCGATACGCGACTGCAGATTCTGTGCCTGCCTTTGCTGCTTTGAAGATATAGCCAACTATTCTTTTGACCATTTCCTGTGCGCAAATGCGGGGCGGGCACTTCAGCAGGCTGCAGGCATCCTCGCAGGCGCCGAAGCTCTCGCCTGGCCTGTCGGCTCCACTTCTCTTCCTCATTCTTGATCTCGTCGACAGCCTGCAGAGATGCGCTCTTCCCTCCTCATCCTACGGCCATCCCTGGCCCAAGGAAACGAGCCTCGCCGACAATCGCGTAAAGGTTGCCATGGATCTCAGCCGCCAACCCCACACGATCCCTTCATGCCCACTTCCGTTTTACTGGTACTGTGCCCGACGTCTTTGAGTCTTTGAGCATCCGGCTTTCTCCAGCACCTTCTCATGGCTTACCTGGCTTACCTGCATGGCAAAAACTCAAGAAGTGAAGCACGACACGACGGGAAAGAGACCGACCTGCCGACGGTCGGACGCAGGCGCATGCTGCGTATGCAGCGCCTGAGATTGAGGCACCTGACGTCGGCAGTACTCGTGCAGCAAGCCTTTCAGCAAGCATAGCAAGTCTCGGAATCGGACCCTTCCCCGATAGTTTCGCCCAATCATGGCGATATGTGCCCAAACGCTGGTCATTGAGCCAGAACACGATGGCATGGGGCTCGATGTCTTCATCCCGAAGGTCAAGAGACAATCCCTCTCTCTCTCTCTCTCTGAGACTCTCTTTCTCTCTGTCTGAATGCAGGGCAGAGGTTTCGGTGAAACTTGGTGGCAACCTAGTCTTGCATCCTCGCAGCAATGTCCAGAAGCTCCGCCAATGTCCATCGCTCGCTTGACCTTACTGAAGAGTCCTCGGAGGAAGCCGGCCCACGGCATGATCACGGTGCCGACCTCAAGGCCTCGTAGTCTCATGGCCCCTGCGGATTGGACTGGACCATGAGAGGCTCCGACATATACGTCATCTGAACCTCAGAGAGACACCACGCATATAAAGGGGCACAAGGGCCGGTGGATGCTTCGCTTGTCAGGAAGACTGGGAGCCGGGCCTGTGTCGACTCTGCAGGGACGAAAGGCAGCAGATACCCTTGAGATAGCTTGCCATAAAGCTCGTACCCCCACACCGACCCCAGAGCAAAGATCACAAGCGTCGGCAGGAGGCAGCAAATGCGGACAACTACCAGGTTGGTGCAAGCGTTGAAGATGTCTGGAGCCTCCCTCCTCGCCACGTCATACAAGGAATTTATCTTGGATGGCGAGCATGCAGAGGTTGGGTCATCCGGCATTGGAAGCGACAGAACTTTTGCCAGAGCTTGGCTCTGGCTTGCAAGCCTCTGAAGATTGTTCTCATCATAGCCTTCTTCATCTGGTGGCTCAAACTCATCTCCAGTACCTGCTGCTGATTCACCGTCTTCACCACTTGTATCTGCGTCATTTTCACCATCTGCAGGTCGGCTTGAACCATCCGCATCTTGAGTGTCTTCCACGGTGCCGCCACCGTCTTCAGCCTCATCTTCTCCCTGGGCTGCGGCGTCGCCTGCACCATCTGAAGCCTCAGTGCTTGTACTGTCTCCATCCTTGTCATCTCGCTCGTCCTGCAGAAGCACGTCACCTTGCGGCGCGGGATCATCATCTGGGTCATCGTCTGGTGAAGGTGGTCCATCAGGTTCATCCGGGTCCGGGCCTTCGCCTACGGCTCCTCCCGTTCCATCAGCTGGTTCCGAGCCTTCGTTGCCGGCAGGATCTTCTGCATCGGGAGGGGAAGTTGCCTCTTCTCTTTCAGTTGCCAAAGAAGCTTCATCACCTGTTTCCATATCCAATACCGGCTCCGCTGTCCCCGTGCCAATGTCCCTCTCCGGGTCCCCTGTGCCCGGATCCTCCGAATCTGCGGGGTCATCGCGGCCATCGCTCACAGCCGAGATCCCCTCCTCTTGCTGTGGCCCTCTCTCTGGATCTTCTTTCTCTTCTTCTTCGTCTTGCGTCTCCTCTGCCGGCTCGTCTTCTCCCACTTCTGCCAGTGCCTGTCTTTGACCAGCTGCGTATGCCTCTGCTGCTGCCTCCGCTTCCTGTTCCACGCGATCCGAAACGCCATCATGAACATCTTCCGCTCCTGTCTGTGCCTCTGCAGCAGATGTCTCTGCCTCTTCTGTCTCTCCCACGTCTCCTGCGTCTCCTTCCTCTTGTTCCTCTGAAGCTCGGTTCTCCAGATCCTCCCTCAGCTGGCGCCATCTTTGGACGCCGGCGGGAGGCTGCACTGGTGAAGGTCGCACCGATCCGAGTTGCTGGTCTTCCTGTAAGGGGGTCAGATGACATTCTACGTCCCGTGTGTCGGCACCTGCTTGGGGCCTGGTCTAGCTTTGCCCTCTGGCCTCCTTGAGGTACCTCTCCTCGCTCGAGCTCGGCTCATCGAAGTCGCCACCCTTACAGACGAGATACATTGGAGGGCACTCTCTCGGAAGGTGGGGGCCTCGAATCTGCGGCAAATAGACATCCCAAACTGCGGGCGCCAGGCAGTCAACCGTCATCCTGGGATCTGTCTCGGGCCCTGCAGGATAGCAAATCGATGGGTCACACTTCGCAAACCAGATCTCGACAGCATCGCTGCTTGTGTACATGAAGTTCAGGAAGGCTGCGGATCCCAGAAGCGTGGCGACAGTAAGCACGCAACAGCACATGTTGCAACAGCAGTAGCAGCAAGCGCAGCACTGGTTGTTTGCCCTTGCGCCACAGAGGCCACACAACGCGAAAAAGCCCCCAATTACCAGTGCATTGATGACGGCCGGCACGGCAGACGTCAGAAGCAGTTGGGGTGCCACGTTCAGAAACGTGCTCAATTCAGGGATGGCTTCAACTTGCGCCAAATATTCGAGCTTCTGCTGCAGACTTTGCCAACTGAGAAAACCGAAGAAGAGTTGAACGGCAACTGAGACCACGAAGCACCCCACAGTCAACACTGATAAGGCGACAACGCGGTTTCGAAGCTTTCCGATGTACGCATTGTAGCTGAGAACTTCTTCACCTGGAGCAACCACGTAGGGAGTTGTTGGCACCTGCTCTTGAGAGCGCGATGGCAGAGAGATCAGCTCCCTAGCCTCGCCACCCTCGCCGCTTTGCATCATTTCTGCGGCAAGGAAACCGCCCAGCGGCAGCGGCGGCCGCAGGCAGCCGCAACTAAAAGACACCTTCTCATTTGAGCCACGCCTAGTTTGTTCTCCGTCTATGCTTTGCAATGGTAGCTGCCTGACACCTGTTGCCAACAACGAAGACGAAGAGTTCCATAGATGCCACAGACAGTGTGAGAGGAACCTTGTGGAATATTAACTTCCTGTGACAGCATTGAAGGGCCAGGCCTCTCTTGCAAAATAATGATTTATCGTTGAAAGTTGAAAGTGCTAGGGACCATGCCATGAGTTCCGCGGTCTCGAGAGCGAGCCGGTAGCCCTTAAATGTGTGATGATGCCTTTATCTACAGCCCTAGTTCTGGGTTTAGGAGGTTTCCGACAACGTGAGAAAAAGCTGGGTCCAGATGCTAGCTGCTGGACGTTCGGTTGGTGGATTCCTACGTCGTCTTTTTGATGTCTGCGACTTGGTGGCCAAAAGCAAGGCCAGGAGAATCTGGACGAATGCAGCTTTACCGTACTCGTGCCACGGAGGCCGGAGCAAAAGAACAGGTCGCCGTCGGCCAATCAGCCGACTCAGCCATTGTATAGTGGCTTGGAACCTATGTTCCCGGTGTCTGCCACGCAAACTGCTCGGCCAGTCAGTCAGTAAAGCCGAAACTGTAGGCCTGTGTCCAACACGCTTCTTCGCATGCTTCACAACGGCTACTTCGTCTTCTTCAGCTCCAGGGCCAATGTAGCAGTGGAGACTCTCCCAGACTTCAATTCATGGATAGGAGGCATCCGCTTCATGCGCATGAGCTCGCCGACCACCACCGCCACAGGGTCTCTAGACATGGTCGCAACCGCCTTGACTTCGTTTTTCAGGCAGTAATAAGCGACAAAACTCAGCTTCTTCAGATCGCCATCGACCACCAGCTCGTCAAACTCCGTGCAATGACCAACGTACCTCAGGTTTTTACCGAAAAGAGATGTCCAGAAGAAGGGGGTCTGATCGAACTTTTCGGCTTTGCCGAGCATGTTCTTCGCAGCAATCCGTCCCTGGCTCGTCGCAACATCCCAGTGCTCTACCCGCATGGATCCGCCTGGCGTCTCGTAAGTGCAAACGTCTCCAGCAGCGAAGAGGCCCTCTGCGCTGGTCTTCAGGCAATCATCCGTCACCAGCGAGCCGTCCCGTGCACGACGCGCGCCGTCCACGAAATCTGCATTAGGAACCACCCCTACCCCGACGACGATGGAGTCACAGGTCAACACCTCTCCGGTCTTCAGCGAGACTTGTAGTGAGGAGCCGTTTTGCTTGATCTCTGCTGCCACCTTGCCGCCCATGAACTTGACTCCTTTTGATTCGAAGAAGTCCTGGCATCTGGACTCGACCGTTTTTGCAAACAAACTCGTCCAGAAGAATGAAAACCTTTGCAGCCCTCGAAGTGTTTCCCACTGCCCCAGTGGTGCCCAAGTGCCTTCAGAACAATGCCCAGGCGGGTCCCCAGCACTCGCTCGAAGGGCACCTGGCACAGTGGATCGTAGGCCTTACACGGACTTCTATGAACAGCAACGCAAGATGCACGGAGCTCACAGCGGCAAGAAGTGCCTGTTCCATCCCAAGCACCGTGACTTCACAGCCACGCCGCCGCAAGGTAGCGGCCAGTTCCATTCCTGCTGACCGACTACTATTGACGCTCTGGCAGTGCGGCATACATGACAGGGCCATTCAAAACCCACAGCAATGTATCTTGCGAAATGAATCTCGCAACATGCCCTATGGATCTTTGGGGCACTCGTGCAGCATGAGCTCTCCGAAGGATCTAACGGCTAGGAAAAGCCAGTCGGCAACTGACTGCTGCAGACAGGGAGGCTGGCATTCAATTTGGCGACAAGACTCCGATGAAGGATGACCCGATCACCACCTTGCAAGCCACACGCTGCTAGCTGGTAGCAGCTTACATTAACAGCCAAGCCAGCCAAGCATAGCCAAGCAGCAGTCTTCTTGTCGGAAGAGCAGGCGGCAGCAATGCGCTGAGCATCTTCCGGAGTTCGTAGCCCAAGAACTCCTGGGAGGTCAGCACCCTTGATTGGAAGCTCTCGAGGCCTCGCACCTGTTGCCACAACAGCGGCGTCGTAGTGTACGGTCTGCCCGCTTGAAAGCCGGAGCGTCTTCGTTGCAGCATCAAGCTTCTCCACCTTGGTGGAGCGTCTGATCTCAATCTCATGCTTGTCGAAATACTCTTGATCCCGAAGGCTCAAAGAGCCGGGGTCGGAGGCTTTGCCCAGGTTCTTGGAGAGCACAGGCCTGTCGTAGGGCAGGTGTCTTTCCTCGGTTATCAAGACGATGCGCCCTGTGTACCCTTCTTGTCGCAAGGCATCCGCTGCAGCTACCCCAGCGGCTCCACCACCCACAACCAGGAACACCCGAGTGTCTTGGCTGTCTCGCTGCGCCATGACCGGCGCAACAAAATCATCCATGTTCCGTGGCAGGTCCACAATAACGTCGTCTGACTCTACCGCGACGATGTACGTAGGTATGGCCTGTAAGCCAGCACCGCGCACAGGCTGCCCGGTCCGAATATCGAAGGCTGCATTGTGCCATGGGCAAACCACATGCATCTTGTCTCGTGCTGCAACTCCTTCAGCTAGCGGTGCACTGTAGTGGCTGCATGATGCACCAGTTGCCTCAGTTGCCATACGAAACAAGACCTTCAGCCTGATGAACTTGCAGTTCAAGGGCCACTGGAGGCCAAACTCTATTCCTTGTACCACAAGCCCCCCCCTGAAGACACAGAACGCACCACAATGCAGATCCTTTATGCTGGCAAACCCAGACTGAGCCGCAGCATTCTACCCTTTGAAACAGCCTCTGAAAATCTGATCTGCATCCACCAAAGGACGTAGAACTTGCCGTCTACCTTGGTCAAGAGGATGGCGCCTTCACCAGCCCCGTCGCTTGTAGGAGCGATTCGGATTTGTCGAAGCTCCCCCTCTGGAAAATTGGCTGCACGAGCAACTTTGACTCTGCGCACAGCTGGAGGTCTGCCAGTCTCTTCGGAAGAACAACTGACTGAGGATTTCTGCCAATAGCACGCTGCAGCGAGACTTCCTGTAAGAGCACTCAGTGCAGGAAGCACACTGGGTTTTCCCGCTGTGCATACGGGGATGCAAGCCTCAGATAGACCCGACTCTCAGGACAGAAGCGCAGTGGCTTGCCCTTTACCCGCCACCGCCGACTCGTACGTTGATTCCTAGTGCATCCACGGAGCAGGTAAGTGAATCTGCCAAGACCGGCTTGTGACATGCAGGCATCGACGGAGGTGCAGCATGGTGACCAAATCAGTCAACTTTCAGCCAACCTTTTGATTGAACGGCTTACGATGTCGTGATCAGGCAAAGGGATTCTAAAAAACAGCATACAGTAGAGCCGGTTTTGTACAGCTTGCTGCGCGATTCGATCAGCCTGTATTCTCAGCCACATTGCTTGTACACATCAAGCCAAAGCTGAGAACCGTTCAGGCCGGTTGCTGCCGTGTCGCTGCGCATGCGCATGCCTGGTCCGGAGCGGAGCTTCTGAAGGTCGGCCCAATGCCATCTGCGGCTATGATGAGGGCCGGCATCTTGTTTCAACCGCTTCCGCCGCAGTCTTTGTCGTAGCCGGAGTGAAACGACACTTCAGGAACTCTGCCTGTAACGTGTGTCGCGCAGTCGGTGAGGTGGCAGGAAAATAGATCTGGCAGAGCAACCGAATATCGGAAGCCTCGGGGCCACAAAAGTCAAGAAATCCTGGGACCCTGCATCAAGGGCCGTGGGCCTGGATGAAACGGAACTAAGACATTGTGAAACGACACATTCCAAAGCCTCTAGCTTGGTGGAGGTTAAAGACTTCGAATCCCTAGCTCGCAGGGATTTGCAGGGCCGACTGATCCGAGCATTCGCAACACTGCGAAGCTCTCAGAGTGCTCAAGCATGCTTCCTCTGATCCTCGGCGGTCCACCAAGATGGCAGCCTCAGGCCATGAGCAGCACTCTCTGTAAGGCTTCATTCACAGAAACTCTCATTTCTCAAATTTCGTGTTATCGTGCTTTTCATGGTTCATGGTTCATTCTTTGTTTGCTCACTTACATCTCTCGTATCACTGCCATCCAAACGGGGGTGAGGTCTTGGCATTGTACTGGGTGGTCCAACGCTGACCTGGCGCCTAGATCGCCACATCGCCTATCACTACCACAAATATATTCAACATGCAGCACTGTAAACACCGACATTGTCGGCGATACGATCTGGGCGTGAACAAAGCCAAGAAAAGTGTCCTAAGGACAGGGCGTGCCGCCATAGATGCCTCTGCGTGGCGATCGCTGCATTCGCTGCACACCACACGTGCTGTGTCCCTCCAGCCGCCTGTCGCCGCCCGCTCCCTCAGCGATGGCTCGCCCAAGATCAGGCTCAGCCTAAGCCAAGATCACCGATGTGGCCTGGGAGCGACTTGCCCTGTGGCATCTCCGCAACCGAGGCGAGGGCTTCTGGATCAACTCGTTCTGAAACTCTTGTCTGTTCCTGTCAGAGAAATACAGCACGCAGCTGCCAAACTTCAAGCAAGTTTACTGCCTGTGGAACGTGGGATCCGCGCTGGCCACGAACATTCTGACGCAATTTGCCTGCAAGCCCAGAGATGCAAATGCCCAGAAGAATGGACCGTCTTCCCAAAATTCTGTACCGTGTAGGACCTGCATGAAGTACTTTGGATGTGCCAGCACTCGCGCCTGCAGCAGCCAATATTCAGATTGGCTGACTTCGCATGAGTCGCACCAAGACCTTCAACACTGCGCAGCCTGCCCAATTTGGGTTGAACTGTTGCTGTCCATCCATTTTGAAATTGGCATTCGCCTGCGCGGGCGACCGAGACAACGTGCCTGTCCTGTGCAAGAAACGTGTGACACTGAGGCTGCGGACTCGTCATCCACCGGTCCATAGGGTTTGGCAGCCTGGGGGCGAGACAGAGACAGAGAAAGGTTTGGCTCGAAAAACTTCAACATCAAGCTGCGTAGACAAGCTTGTCCACAAGGTGACCTTATACTGCAGTCACTCAGCACTGACATGTTTCATCTCCCCGCTTAGCAGACGTCCGGTCAAAACCAGAAACTGCTGCCAAAGCGCGCTTGATGAAGAGCTGCATTAGGTGACCAGGCTTTCCGCTATGACAAGCCTCCGAGGGAAGGATGGGTAGGGCAATCCACGGCAAGTGCTGCGGCGGGCTGGCCGCCGGCCTTGCCACCGAACTGCGAAACGTCCAATCCATGCTTCTCCGACCTGGCCCGTCTCGGAATCGCGTCCCAGTCCAAACAGGCACAGTGTCACGTCAACAAGGACGCATGACATGGCAATGATCTCGTCGGCGAGCTTCCGAACCTACGGTGTGGCTCCGCTCCGCTGCCTTGCCGGAGCTTGAGCCGACCCGGCCTTCGCTTTGGGCACGTAGCAGCTCTCCAACAGGTTTTCCAGCACCTGGGAATCTGCGCGCTTCCACGTCTTCCTGTTCTGTGACACTGTGCCTTGCTGCTACCAAGACACACCTCTAAACGATAGGTCTTTGCAGCTGTAGCCTGGCGGAGGCTGAGACTGAAAGGACAGCACATGCAAAGCGGGCCAGGCACCTGCGATGAAGACCATGGCAACCTTTGCTATCGCTTTCTGGCTGAAGCCTACAAAGACCTCTGCTTTCCCACAGCATCTGGGAGCCAGACGCAAGCCTCAGGCCCCGTCGATGCCAACGAGCACATCACGGACCTTGCCAGAAACGAGCTCAACTGCTTCGAGTAAGTCCCGTAGGCTCCCTGCAACCCAACTCTGCGAAAATCTGGGTGATGATCTCGCCTGTGCTCCGTCGACGGGCAATCAGCAGTGCCGTGGTGCAGTCTGTGTGAATTCTGGGGAAGCTGCTTATTGGTCGCGAACTCCTCGTTGAACCTGCGGGTTTCAACTCAAAAACGCGTGGCTTGGCTCAGAGCGAAAGCCACCCAGGCGGCCCTGCCTCTTCTTCAGGGTTGCAGCATCCGGTGTCTCCTTGAATTCATGCCTTGCAGATCAGACCCTTTATTCAGAAATCGCAATCGCAACACGGCACCACCAGAAGACGAGACCGAGGGTGTCACACTAGTATGCGCGGAAGCGTTGCATACCTTCACGGTCACTTCGTGCTGTCGTACATGTGCAGCGCTTCCGGTAGGGAAGTAGGGCCACTAGAGTCACACAACATTGCCAGGTAGCTGTGAAACAACGCTGCTAGGTGCTGCTAGAAGAGACGTTGTGCGCATGATCTGCAGCTGAGGCTGCAACTGCGACCGGAAGCGGAAGAGAACGCTCCCAACCGCGGCATGCACTTCGTATATCAGTGCAGCAAATGAGTACCTCGCGAAGATTTCAAAACTCGCCTGGCATGCTTGAGCGAAGTACCAGAGCTGGGCGCACGAATGGTAGAATACTGCCCATTCGCCGCATAACCTGGCCTCGTTGGCTTCGAACTGGGCGAAGCATTTCTGGCGCGAGCCGATGATACTCTTTCGATATATGCGCCACTGGCAAGAAGATACTCAAAACATACATTAAAGAGCGAATCGAGAACTGTCCTTCGCGTGATCATTCCCCTCCAAGACCCTGTACGGGTGCATGGAGGCGCCGCCACCTTCTTGCTTCGCTCTCAACGTTTGTTGCCCAGCTGCCCCCTTTCCCATATCAGCGAGGCCCAGGCGCTTGCTTTGAGGTCCGTACCTGGCCAAATTCCCCGATGCATCAAGTGTTGTGTAAGATCGCCACTCGCACTCTATGGCAAATACTGAATCTGAGTTCCAAGCGACCGCTGTAAAGAGACTTCTGGAGATGCTGCTGCCTCTGCCAGCACTCCGAGCAGACTCGCTCACCAGCAAGATCCTGCACTGCAGGACCGCTTCAGCCGCAGACGCTCGCTGAAGAAGGATCTGCCGAACCAACGCCGTCTTCCTGTACAACAGTTGGCAGTGACAGTCGTGGATTTGTCCACCAACCGATGCCTCCGCGACTGGTTCGTCTTCTTCCTTGTCCAGTATTCGGAGCTTGCGCCTGAGTTGCACCAAGCTTTCCAGACAAGCGACACACTAAGTGAGAGGTCAATCAAGCGGCTTCTTGCCCGTGCTCACATTTGCCTGAATGCCACCCTCATCGGGACCTGTCTGTGTCGACACAAAGAACTGCCCCGAGAAGTCATGTTGATGGGCTGATCTGAGATATCGGCGTGAAAAGTCAATGTAGTAGTTTTGGCCACGGGCGTGAATCCTGAGAGTCCCCGCTGGAAAGCACGGGCCAGCCCAGTGCATCGGAGCATCGGAACCCTTGCAGCTGAGGGAGAATCTGAAATGCCGTCTCCCCCTTCGCTAAGTGTTGACAGATTGCTCGCGTCCTGGTGTCGGGATGTCTCTCAAGCTCTCAAAAAAAAACAGCTCGGGCTGAGGTCCACTCTCTTCCGTCGAGCAATCGCGCCATCCACCTTCCAGCTCTATTTGGACAACGACCTGCAGAGCTTCATAAGCTTCGTGACAGCTCGAAGTTACAAGAGCTCTTGCTGCTTGCCGCCTTTTGCACTCGTGTCTATGGTAGCGGCTGAGGCCCCGGCATCGAGAGGTGCATCTGCCAAGTAGCCTGCATTCCTCCAGGGCAATGCTGCTACAAAAAAGCACTTGCATGCTTGAATAACTAAGCAAGCTGGCACGTTGCAATCGCTTGTAAGCTGTACTTCACACCGTCTTGCGAAAATGCCAAGGTTCAACACAAAGGACAGGTCCAGCGTGCCTCTCAGACGTAGCCAATGCTCGGGCAGGTGTCACCTTGTTCCGAGCAAAGATGTACCCTAGATATATTGTCCGACATGGTCTGGGGAGTGAGCCGGAGATTTGTCACCAGTAATCCAGTCCAAGTCGTCATCCATGACACCCTGGTGTTACTGGTGAACAGTGCAAGCAGATAAGGCCCGATACGGCTAGCGGCAGCAGCAGCGTGCACCGCAGCCTCTGTTGGCTTCGGGACTGCCCTGCCGACATCATGCACCTTGCCGGCAGCCTGCCAAAGGACTTCCAAACTTCGGGACCTTGCCCCACTTTGCACACCCCTCCTCCGGTACCGATGTTCGCGATTCGAAGCAGCCCATGACCTGAGGAGTCATCATAGATCGCTTGGTTTCTGGGTGGCTTCGCAACTTCCGCCTCCTGGCACCAAGACTGCTGTAACTTCCTACATTGGGCCTGACTGTCACTGCATCTACGTAGCAGACATGTGGCGCTGACCCTTGTCTAGCAGTCGGGCGTAGTTCAGTTCTTTCTGCATTAGTGAGACATTCTGCTCGTGATCTTGGGATCTGCATCGCTCACATGCACTGAGCCAGTATTCTGCAAAATGGCATCACCAACTACGGCACGCTGTAGACGAGACCAGTAGGTGCAGTGGCCTACCACGACAAAACTGCACTCTATGGGGCGCTTTTGCACCATGTGCCGAAAATTCGCAGGCGACTCACTTCCATACGAGATCCTATTTCAGCGAGCCTCTACTGCGGTGGGCTGTGGGGGGGGGGGGNNGGGGGGGGGGGGGGGGGGGACTTGGGGCAGTTGGGCCTCCAGGACAGGCTCTGATCAGAGATATCAGAGCCTCGGAAAGCGAAAAGGAAAGCTACCAGGGCCATTTAAAGCGTAATTTTGCCGCATGCGGCATAGGACTTGGTTGCAATTTGGCAGAGCAAAGTTTTGCCAAAGCTCCTCAGAGTAGACCGTTGTGGCCTTAGCCAGAAGATGCGATGTGCTGCGAAATGACTGGTAGAATAAGGACGACCTGAAACCTTCCAACATGTCTGCTTCTCGAAACTCAGGAATCTCACCCTAAGCCACGTCTAGAGGAAGACTGGCAACACCCATTGACTTGCGCTTGCGCGTTGCCTCCCGGAAAACTCCCCAGGCAATGGACCAAGTTTGAACCAGGGTGGGTACTGACATCGAACTCCCGCTCCCATTTCTGCTATCAGTCGGTATCAGCAGCCTTACACGCCGCCTTGTATCCCCCGAAAAGCGCGTAACTTTGCTTCCTACGATGCGGCAAAACGCAGTGCATATCATCAGGTGCCCTGCGCAACAAAGCGTCGACGGTCGCATCCTCCCAGGGCTTGTCTTTGATGTCTCGTTTGCGTGGAGATCACATGTCCACTTCACTCTCCGGGGCAGCTCACACCATCTCCAGCGTCCTTGCCGCGGAAATCACGGTAGACCTGCGTTCAGGTTAAGATTCCTCCGCCGCATCGAGATCAAAACCCGGAGAGATGACACAAATGGCACAGACTCTGATCGCCAATTCTTCTCTTTGTGCCAGTCATCCCGGTCTGCAGCTCCGAGCGCCGGAGCCGTTCATCAGAGCGAGACCGTCGCATCTTTGTCTGCTTGGTTGTAGTGTACAGACAATAGGCAAAGCTCTTCACAGCAGTTCGATGATGCCATGATCATGAATTGCATAGCATCCCGGTATCTTTGTACCACATCTTCCCCACAAACCATTGACGAGCAGAAGCGGCGAAGGCAGCTAGGTGCCAAGCTTTCAAGCCTCAAGCTGTGCCGCAATGGCTCATTGCCTTCTGGATCATTCCAAAAGCTTCCTGGCGAATCAAACATTCGTCAACTGAGTTCTGAGCATCAGCATGCGAAAGTTACAGACACACATTGCTGTCATTTATCGTCCATTGTGTCCTTCCGCGTCTTCCTCTCCATCTCCAACTCCTGTCGCAGCTTCGCATGGTCCTGAGCGCATCCGAGCCTCCAGCTACTAGCATTGCTGGCACTGCTAGCACTGGCTGTTTAGTGGCTTCGACGGCTCCTGAAGCCGGGAACGCACTTCACGCTGGATGGATTCTCGGCAGTCCTCGCTGAGAGACGCACGGATACTAGCAGCTTCCTCCACGTTGCAGCGGACCTCGCGGAGCTGCTGCAGGGCCTCCTCACGGCGCCGAGTCTCCACCGCAACCGCATCGGCCATCCTCCGATGGTGTACGTCTGCCAGGCTTACGAACTCACCCCCAAGAGGAGCAGGGAAGGTTCCCTCACCTGGCATGGGAGGCGAGCTCAAGGGGAATTTTCCCTCGCAAACAGACTACAGAGCAGTGGTTCCGTCAAGGCCCTACAAAACGGGTCTGCGCGTGAAGAAAAGCAGGCAACAGCCTCTCAGCCTCTCACGCTCCTATCTAGAAGTATTTTGCTGATCAAAGCTTCGCTCGATGTTGGGAAACTGGGCCATTGGCTCAGCATCCGCTCATAGACTGCCCCTCAACACTATGCAGGTAACAAAGCTCTCGTTTACATAGTTTTGCTTTCACGCTCCTCTTCTGAGCACTACTTGGTGCATCGACAATCCTACGATTCATTTCTATGCCTCCTGCTCTGGTAATCAGATCTTTCCACTTCTCCAAATTTTCGGCCGCTGGTCTGGTGCTCTTCTTCTGCCCCTCTCCTTTGCTTCGTCTGCTGGGTTTGAGTAATCCTGGCCTTCTCGACTGATCCTCCAAAAGCTGGTTAAGCTCCTGCTCCTGCGCGGAAGCTTCGTGCCAGGATCGGCAATAGCATGTCTACTCAACGTGAGGTCAACATGCCGGCGTTGCACGCACATGCCCTGCACAGGCAGGAGCCAGGCAAGAAGGCGTGCAAGTATGCACACGCACGAAACCCAATGTTTGTTCGTTGATACTAGCAACATGGTAACCTTACGATTACTACCAGCACCGTACTCATATCACATGAGGACGTCTCCTCTCTCGGGACCTGAACCTCCTCCGGAGCCATGCTTGGAGGCTCCACAGAGTCCGGACCGCAAGCCTGCCGGCTCGTACTAAATCAGAACAGGACCGGCAAGCTGCCTCCGCACTCGCAGCATCACTTCAATTACATGTCGGGAGCTAAGGCCGCTTGTATCTGCCGAGTAGCTTCTTTGGTCACCGCAGCTGCTTGCATGTGATCCTGCTTAGAAGGTCGAAGGTAAGAAGCAAGCCCGAAAAAAATAGATTTGCGGCTGTCCTCAATTCGTCGCAGTGCCTCGCTTCGACACTGCGCCTCGCCACGCAGCGCAGCCTTCCGCCAGAATGTCCCACTGAGTCTGTTGACTTTGCCCCGTTGACATACTATGTCTCACTGCGAGAAGCAATCCCATCCTCAAAGCCTGCCAAACGTTGATCGACGAAGGCTTCGCCCTCCGTCCTCAAAAGTCGAGGCTGTGCGTGAAAGAGTTTGTTCACGTGGATTCGGCGAACAGCATGCACTCAAGGAGCAGCGGCTGCAAACCAAGCAAAGCAATCATAAGATAGGCAGATCGGCGGGCATTTTCATGCATTACCTGGTACACTGCAAGAGCTCTGTTCCTGGAAGCAGCTTCCTGTGCCAAGCCATGCCGCAAGTCGCTGCTGGCCGCCTGACGCAAGAGGAAAAGGCTGATAGGCTGGACGTTTGCGTGAACGCTACACTAGTCACTCAAGTGGACCTTGACACGACTGCCTTCACCTGGCCCATCCTAGCCCTCGACAGATGGAGCGGATCAGAGACTCGTGGTTCTCAGGACTCTTCGCAGCCTCCAAACGGCGGGACATATCACCTGTGGCGAATATCATGAACTTGGCTTCTGATTGCTTGCTATCTAAACTGCTTTACACCGTAGACCTGGCTGCAAGTATGATGCCTCGGTACTAAACGTAGTCTCGATCAAGGACGGCCCACGGCTGGGCAGGCAGCCCCAGCGAAAAATCACACGGACACGCTTTCGTCTCCACACCTCTCCCAAAGCACTTCTGTTCCCCGCACATCTCCAACTCAAACACCCACGGTTGGACGGCAAGCGAGTGAACTGTGCCCTGCAGGGCAGTGTCAATTGGTAAGTACTGACTGTATCGTTCCTTGTCCAATTTTCTGTGGCCACTTTATGCCACCGTATGCCTCTGCAGCATCTCAAAAACCGTGGATTTGTTCCCAAGCGGTCTTCTTTTCAGTCTTATCTGTGTTTGTTTCCGTCAACTGTGTCTGGGGTTTATGCACACACCTAAATCCCAAACCCCAAGCGGTAGACCACAGTTCCCAAGTTCCAAACAATGATTCTTTCACACTCAATCCCAAAACCCTAAGCCCCCAAAGCACTCAACCTTCATGTCCTCACCCTACACCTCGCACCCCAGATCCCAGCTCCTAAGCCCTAAACCCCAAACCCGACAACCGCGAACCCGTACCCTGCACTGTAAACCCAGATCCGAAACCCTCACCCCGAAGTTGCGCTCCGAACCAAAGTCAAACCCTAATGACCAAACCCAAAACTGAAAAATCCTAACCCCTAAAGCGGAAATCCAAAACTCCCAAACCGGAAACTCCAAACCCCATCCTGCTGTATGCACTCCCTGAACAAAACGCAAAAAAAAACCCTAAACCATCCTAAATCCGAGACCCTAAACCCAGCAAAAGCCGGCCTACCCGGAAATCCCGAATTTCTCCCTGGCCCCCACCCAGAAATTTTCATATTCCACCGCCAATGACTTCGCGCTTCGGACTCGAGTGTCGAATCACTGCTTTGAGATTGGATGTTAGTGCAGCCCCTTTCGCTCGAGCCCGCGCCGTAAAGCCCAAACCTAGACCCTAAAACTGTAAACCCCCTAAACCCGAGACAAAACCAAACCGAAAAGCCAAAACCCTAAACCGGAAGCCGCAAAAACCCTAAACCCTGCATCCCAAACCTTTCATCCTGCCTCAAACCCGAAAATCCAAAGCTACATCCCCAAACCCCCGAAGCCATAAACCCTGACCCGACACCCTAAACCCCAAACCTTAAACAAACCCCAAACATCCCCACGCCCCAACCCCTAGCCTTTCGACACCTAAAACCCTACAATCCATAACCCGAAGCCCAAACCCTAACCCCTCACCCCTCATCCAGTCCTTTTTGGCAAACTCCAAGCCTTGACCCAAAGCCAAAGCCCCAAACCCGAGACCCCAAGCCCTAAACCCTGAACCTTGGACGGGCTAAGAAGAGAACTAAGCGCACGCTTAACTCAAGCTATCCCGGAGACCCTAGACTCTTAGGCTTAAACTTCCAAGCATAAGCCCAAGACAGTAGGGAAAAGACACGGTTAATGCGATCAAAAGATGCGGCTGACTCGCACTGAATTCTAGAGATGCCGGCCAAGGTTTCTCTGCTGTCAGGGAGACAGAGACGACGGCGCATTTGGGTTAGGAACTCTGTGTGGCGATGCTGCATCTCTGCAGTGGTCACTGCACTGGCAGTCACACGTGAAGACGCCCCACTCCGGTGCAAGGATTTGGATGCAGCCCTCATGCTTATGACGAGTCACCAAACTTCAGCTCCAAGTCGGCTGCGGACTCTTCTGCGAGGTGTCGCCTCAACAGGCAGAAGAGCCCGAGATGGACGCCGGAAAGGCACAACACATCCAAACAGCCCGTGTGCGAACTTTACCGGGAGCCCCCACAGCTCCTCACAGGCCTGCTTCAGCGCCGTGAAGGCCGAGACATCTGGGCAGTCCTGAAGGAAACAGACACAAGAGCACCTGGCATCCCGAATCCGAACTTCAAGAGGGCACCTGCTGTAACTGCCCCCGCTGCCTTAGATGTCGGAGAAATGTCAAGGAGATGGTGAGACCATGAAGCCTTGCCAGGCCACAGTGTTGCCATGGCGGCATGAAGCTCCTCTCCAAAGTCCCGGAGAGACTCCGTGCGCTCGTCACGCTTCAGCAACCTAGCGCTGCTGCACAACTAAATCAACACAAGAACCACAATGCGTTGTGCTGCCTCAGCCGGATGATCATCATCCCAGGAGTCCCATGCTACGGGGTCTTCATGACGCTTCATTCAAGGAGCTCTGAACGCAGGTGCTGAGTTTCGGCGGTTCTCTCCTGAACCTCGGCTCGAAAGGTTCATTGCATCGCAAGCATTGTGGGTGCCACAAATTGCCACAAGCTACCGGACTGGCCTCTTTCACCATTGAATCGCAGAGGTCGTCGATGCGGGCTGAAAGCTTTGAATACGCTGGTGGCGTCCGCGCCTGCTGAACGTCACGACACGCTGGCTACATAATTATAAGTTATGCTGCCCAAGCACAACAGCAATTGGTTTGGCGTGTCAGGTTGAAACGCGGAAAGCAAAGTTGGGTGAGTTGCTGTGGTGCTCCAGTACGTCGTGCATCATACATGAACGTCCAGCGTGCGCAGTCCAGCAATTTGGCAAAGCCGTTTTATTCGCCCAACTGCAGAGAAATGCCTAGAAAAAGCACGAAAGCTTACCAACTAGTCCAGCATGGCAAGATGCTGGGAGCCCTTGACGAAAATTGCGACCTTGTCCCTCATGCGGCTTCCTCCCACGATCCGCAAACATCCCAGAAGCATTCGGGCGCTGTCGGAATTAGTCTTCTTCACTCCTCTCCGGCTTCTGCTTACACGAGATAAGCGACACCTTGCCGCAAGGCCGAGCAACATGGGTGTCAGATGCGGACTTTCCAAAACCGACGTTACCTTGTGCTTTCTGCTTTGATGTTGCATCGATGTACCGCCTGACTGCCCTGCCGGATCTCTGAATAGCGATCTGAGGCAAAGCCTAAACGTATTCCTTCGGACTCGTGGGCCCACTCCAAACTTGCTTTCTGCGGCAGGTTGTGGGCCGCACTGCAAAAGAAGCCACAGACCTGTCGATCCAGACTGCGAAAAATGGCCTGCCTCCGTCCTGATCGCCGACACCTGCCGCATACCGCGCACTGGGCTCCGTCTTCCCCACTAAATTCCGCAAGAAGACGAGTGCAAAAACAATCGCATGCCTTCTCTTCCAGCTCCTTGTGGCCGTCGGTGGCTTTACGACATTCCTCGTTTGTCCACTGCCACAGGTCCTTCGAAGTAGGATAGCTCGTCATCAGCTCAGAGAACACGGCTTCAGCAGGGCATTCGCAAACAGCAATCACCTCAATTTTAGCCACAAGGCTGACTGACCCAGCCACCAAACAATCTCAAAGCCGGTAACCATTGACGTGCTGAGCACACACACACACACAGAGGTCATCAACTCTTCACGAGTGACTGCTGAGCTGCTACTCGGCTTGAAGCTTAGGACTCGGGTCCCTCCCTGCACCGTTTACGACACGGGCAGGGAAGGGGCTCCGCTATGCCGCGATGCAGTTTGAGAGCTTAGGGGTGCAGATGGATACTGCAGTAAGCCACACGGACAATTGCGAAGCGTCGCAAGGGAAGGGATGAAAGGAACATGTTACAAAGAAACTGTCAGAACTTTTCGTGCCGCACATGTTTGTCTGAATCGAAGGTGCGAAGCTCGGCGACGCGCGATAGCGAGCATGTGTCTGTGTCATGATGTGTTGCCTTATGATCTTATCCGGATGGCTCTTCACGTTTTCGTCAACGCTGGCTTGCTGCAGGGTCCACACAGACTACTGCACTTTGTCCTGGAAATCCTGCACAACGCGCGACTCGAGCGAGTGCAAGGCATCTTCGAAGTGGCCGCAGAGCTTCTTCTCCAGGGTCTCCAGCCACTTCTTCACTTGGGCACCCAGGCCGCTGCTCTCCTTGGTAAAGGTCGATTCTGCATCTGAAAGGTGCCTTGGGTCTATTGAGTGGCCACGAGTTCATCCAAGTTGCATGCTTGATTTCGCCTCGCACTGCCTGTTCGAACTCTTGTCGAAAGGCCTGCTCTTCGATCAGAGCATCCGTCAAGCCTGCAGATGCTCATCCATTTTCGTCAGCTTTTCATGAATGCCGCTAGGCACTGCAAGGTCTATGAATCTGACAAGTTGCCTGCAATGGAAGCCTGTGCCGTTACTAGCTCCTCCGCCACCGTTGCGAGTCTTTCCTCCAGGCACATCCAGACCCCTCCAAGATCACTGGCATCTCCGCAGTCAGGCAAACACGAGAACGTCTTGCAACACAGCAGGGCTGCTGCACAGCATCGGACAGGAGAGCGAGAGTGAGAGTAAGCGTGGCGAGGGGGAAGTGATGAGAGTAAGCTTGGAGAGTGGAGGGTGAGAGCACGGTGAGAGAGCAGAGTGGGAGGGCATCGATGAAAGGGAGCTTGAGCGTGGAGAGTGATGATCAAAATCAACATCACGGCCCACTCCTACACTGATCACGGCTCTTATTTGTGCCCAGACTCGGATAGATAGCTGACCTGGCAAACACCAACAACACTGGCAACCCTGTCCGCTCGAAACCCTTCCGCTCACCCTGTGCCCTATGTATATCCGTGCTGAATGGCAGAGCAAGGCCTGCATGTGCTGCAGCTGATCCTCGGCAAGTCCGGCGTCAAGTGCTACCACTGACTGAGCTGGGGACACGAATGCTGCTATGCGTCGATTCTTTGCTCGAGGTCGTGCAGCCCACCGTCAGGCAGCTCCAAATAAACCTCAAGTTGGCTGGAAACTGCGTTTGTCTGGCAACCCCTCCAATGTGAGAAAGCCTGATCCTCAAATTTTGCCGCACTGGAGCTGACTCGAGGTTCCGCAAGGCGTCCTCCGAGTCTGGGCACTGGCCGTCCGGGCCTGGAGAGGACAAATACACGAGCAGATTTAATTTCTCTTCAGTTCCCGCGCCTTTGATAAGCACATCCGCATTTGGCAGATCAAAGGCATGTCCTCATCTCATGTGCAGGACACATGAGTTGGCACTCGAAGCTTGGCCCTGCCAAAAAATTAGCTGCCAGCAAAGACAACGCTCTCCGGCTCTAACAAAACCCGAGCCCGATGTGTTTTGCTGGGCGGTGGCACCGCTGGTCTGCTCCAACCATGAACGGCTTCCTGAATACCAGCCATGTCGCTTGCTTCTCGCCGAAGAGCTGGCAAGGTCAGTGGCTTGACAGTGACCTCCTCCAAACGGCCGTAGGCCTGCGCAGGCAACAAGACCTTGTGCGTAGCCAGGATGAAGAGTCTCTGAGCCCCTGACGTGCACACAAATCTGAGTCGCTCCATCCTCAACTTCGGTGATTCAACTGAAGCTCGACTGCAGATTTGCGATGGCACATTCGCCAGTGTCCGTGCTGGCAGGTGTCCTTCTCGGCTGGCTGTGGCCTCTGCAAAGTGTTGTCCTGGAAAGGGCAGGCATATGAAAGACCTCAAAAGACCTCAAACAAGGCACAAAAGTTGTCAGGGAGAAGGGAAATCAGAAAGGTCACCAGAGACTAGAAGTTGACAGCAGCCCGATCCGGTTGCCAAGTCTCCTCCATGTCCGACATGACATTGGGTCATGAAACCTCCTCTATGAGTGCCAAAGGGTCGTTGGTAGAGGCGGCTGGGACGAATTCCTCTGGTTTTTACCGAGGCTCTGTTCTACTTGACTCTGAAAGCAGAGCACCACGCTGCAAGATGTTCTGCAAGGCTCAAGCTCTAAGTAGGCACGGGAACTGCTTAGGTTCTCTCGGGCCACATCGCGGCACACTTAAGATATGCTGAGACATACAGCTGCTGGACTTGCAAGCATCGGTCGGAAGACTGGTCGAAGAGTGCCGAGTAGCACTCAAACTGCCTTGCTGGGATGTCTGCCACCGCCGCAGCCCAGCACCTGCAGGTTGCCACATTGTTCACATTGCCGAATCAACCGAAGCAGCTAGCAGCTATGCTCTTTTCCGCTTGGATTCAATGACGTTTATGACGTGGATGCGAAGCATTGCCTGTTGTGACTGGTTTTAGCATTTTTCGCATTGATGCTGAGGCTGAAAAATGCTTTGCGGCTTCATCGTGTAACGTTTTTCCACTCATGATCCATGCTGTGGTCGCATTATCCTTGGAGCACCACCATCAGCTCCTCACCGCAATCCGCTCCCACGGTGCTTGCAAATCCGCTGAAGAATGCGCCCTTCATATCTTCACATCTCAGGGCACGACAGTTTGTTTGGGGCCATAGCCGTAGCCGCTACGCAAGATTGGGGTGGACTCTGGCATTTTATCCCGGCTGCTGTCTGGATTTCGAGTTCCGAGGATTCTAGGGGCTGCGCCCACGAGCGGGCAGCGCAGGTAGAAGCCGGGAGCAAGGCCGCGCACCCCCCGTCCGCCGAACCCCGCTGATGCTGATGATGCGCGCCCTTTGCGGGCGCAACCCACTCAAAAATTGGCAAAACATCGCCTCGCGCTAGGGCCGGTTGCAGGCGCCCCGAGTGCTCATGATGCTCGCCGGCTGGCGTTGTGGGGTCGTCCACGGGGGCCCCGAAACCCGCCATAGCCTGGGGAATGGCTGCGAAACGCGTGCGTGTTCCGAAATGCCTCCGGGCGAAGCGCGGCCTGGTGGAAAAGCGAAGGTCCGATGAAGCAGGGTCGGCGGCACTGCCGGTCGCACCTTTTGCTAAAGCAAAGCTTGCAAGCTACTCCTCGGCTACGCCTCGAACTCACAGGACGCATGCGCAAGGGGACCGAGCGCTGCCCGATTTAGTTACAGATCGGGACGCAGTATCGCCGACCCCAGTTTTCTCGGAAGCCTCCGGAAAGAAACGAAGAGCTGATGTTCATATGTGGTCCGCGGGACGGGCTACCGATGCGCTTCACGCACGCAGCCGATCATGTGGGCTGTATGGTCCACAGGGACGATCTGCTGATGCTCTTGATGTGTGTTGCATCGTCGTTTGCGTTGCTGCATGACTTGTATCCTGCGTTTCCGACAAGAGGCAGAGGTCCAGCGGAAAGGCGAATTGCTTGATCGGATGATACTGCAGTGATCGCTTGAGATGGTGATTCAGTGATTCGCGTAGGCACTAGTTGCTAGCGTCGCTCCTCTCTTTGCCAGTGCTCGCCCAGGAACCGTCTCTCGAAAGCGGCGTCCCACGGAGCGCAGGGCCTCCTGGAGGGTGAGAGTCAGGGAAATATACTCAAATGTCTCTGTCTTCGGGCGGTGGCCTCGTCATCCAGGCCGGCCTAGGGGCTGTCAGGAAAAGCACCTTAAGACCTCCCATTCGATTTCCTGCCTCCTCAAAAGCAGCAAAAGCATCGGCAGACAGAACCTGCGGGGACCAATGCACGCTTCGCGTTTCGTTTCGACAGAGCTTACAGTAGTGACCAACTATGGCTTCGCTTCACTTGCCACCTCGGCCCATTTGTACGAGTAGTATCCGGCGGCATAGCCACCAGCAAAGATGTGGCTAAAGGAGCCTTTGATAAGCCATGCAGTCGATCGATGCATTCGCATTGATCTGTGAGACTTGTAAGCACCCGGCACAAGAACCGATCTTCCTCTAGTGGCGGCAGGATCCTCAAGCAAAGCTTCAATGCTCTCCATTGCCAGAAAAAGCCCTAGGTCAACTCAGCACACTTGCGAAGAATTTGAAAAGGCCACAATTTGTAGGTTCATCTAAGGCGCTGGTACTTAGCAGCCAATCGCCTCTGCACATCCAGGAAGGTTTCCGTTCCGTCCTGGACAGGTTTGCTACGGCGGCATGGCCCGCACTCTCTGCCTCAATCCGAGCGGCTGGATCGTACTCAGAATGAAGCTTCATGTCCAGATCCCCGAACCTGAAACATCCAAGAGCGAGCCCCCAGTAAGCACCGAGACAGAGCCAGTGCAATGTTTCAAGACCAGGACAATGAGATATTCTTCTTTCTATTGCCAGGAGACTGCAGCTGCCGAAGCATCATGGAGGCGGCCATGAAGATACGGCTGCCTCCGAAGTCACTTCTTCAAAGAGCTCACCGCTTCCTCCAGACGTGCGGATGCTCGCACAGCCCAGTCCTTTGATCTTCTCAAAGACGTCTGCAGGAAGCGGTTCCCCGGTTTCATAGTGCACCGCGAACGAATCCACGGTTGGCTTGTGGTAGAGCCAATTCTCCATGAATTGCGAGGGAAGCTCCTAAGTCTTCAGCTACGAAGCGAGGCAGAGGCGGCGAGGCGGAAAGGGGCTGCCCGTGTGAGGCCGGGCTTCCACCGCATCCCACTCCACGTTGTTGATGCCAGCGCAGTCACCATCCTGTCGTGAACTCCGCAGGTTTACAGTACATGGGAGGCGGAGCGACACGGCTCCTCCACATGAGTCAGCATGTGCTGGAGGCCGTGGCCAAACTCATGGAACAGGGTCTCAGCCTCGGAGAACGTCATCCTTAGATATCCCACGGAACGCTTGCAGACGGGCCACAAAGCATGAGACAGCCGGGGCACAGAGATGGCTTTGAACCCACTGGCGGGGAGCCTCTTCCAACACGGAGAAGGCGATGCACCCGATGAAAACACAAGCAAGAATGCTGACCAAGCAACCATTGCAGGTCAGGTATGCAACTGGCTTTGTCCCCACAGCCTGCCACGTGGCTCTTTGGAAGGACACCACAACAGACGATGTCAGTCGTTGAAATGCGCGGCCTTGGAGCGGCCCAGGCAGTCGTCCATCCAGGCACCTCCGCGTTTCCTGGGCTTCGGCGTCACATCACTTGCGGGACATGGCGACATGGCGCCACTGGCAATGGGTTTTCTTGCCAGCGTCTCCCCCGGGCGTGCATAGGGATCCAGGAAAAACGAAGCCTGAGTTGTCCACAAGCAGCGGCATGCGCCATTTCCATAGATTTCGCAACAATACAGAAGCAGCAACAATCTCAAGCAAGAAGCAATGTGGTTGCCTGTGCTTGCATCTTGCACCTTGAAGAACATGACATCAGGATGCCATCCTTATGGTGACTGTTGGCGAGGACTCATGCGCCAGATGCTTCCGCTCACTGTACCAGCCTCTCTGTGCAGGCATGATGCGCTCTGCCGCATCATTGTCTTGAACGATGTCTACCGCAAAGAGCTTTGAGGCAATGCCAAACCTTTGTCGGTGATGTGAAGAACAAGCGGATACGCGAGGACATGCTGCTGGGTTCATGCACTGGTGCAACACAGATTTTTGACTTGAGTCATAGAACCTGACAAGCACTCTGTGCTCGCCAAGCTGCATGCCTTCTAGCACTTTCGGAAGTGAGAAGTACGGTCTCAAGGCCTCTTCATCATAGGCATACCTGGAAATCGCATGACATGGCAGGTTCCAGTGTAACATGGCTGCTTTGCTACCCAAGGCATGCAACTCTCTTCTGGTGCATGGATGATTTTTGCTGCTTCTGGGTCACTTCTCCTCTTTCAGACGCTCCGTCCAGAAGGTGACATCCCAGAGCCTAAAGTGACTTCAGAAAATGCTGACACTACCACTTAGGGAGGCTAGAGCCTGGTCTCCGTCACGGGGCAGAGCCCGACATATCCCCAAGGCCGACAGTTTTGTTGTTGCTCGTGACCATTGCTTAGGGCCAAAGCCCGGTGTTCCTACTTCACTTGATTGGCAGGGCCATTCTGAGGCCTTGATCCTGTTCTTCCATGCAGCTTCCCTGCTTGTTCTTGCTGCCTCCCTCTGGCTTTCCTAGTATTGCTGCGGTGTGTCCCTTGATAGGATTGGTTCAGCCTCTTAGGGCGGGCCAGAACCCGCTTGCCGTGTCTTTTACTGTAGCTGAATCAGAGTCCGTCATTGCTGTCTTGTCGGTTTCCACGGGTAGACTTACTATTACTGAAGACAAAATTCGTTCGGCATCTGTTTGGATAGGCCAGCACCTGTTCTTCCTACACTTACTCCCATCACGGAAGAGACAGCTTTCTGCTCAGCAGGACTGCGCAAGTTCAGGTCTGAGGTCTGCACTGCAACTTGCCAGCGTAACCTGCAAGCCAAAATTCTTGCGGCAACTCAGAAATCTGATGGTTGAATTGTGCAGTAGCGCGCGGTCCTACACCTCTACAGCGTACTTTGATACCGTGAGTTCATCGGCTTTATCCCGACCACTGCCAACATGATGTGAGCTGTTTCTGCCATTAGGCTGCTGCATCCGGACAACTCGCAGCGACGAGAGAGACTCTTGGCAACCATAGCATCACAAAGCACTCTGCAAGTGCTCCCTGTTTCCCTGAACGCGCCTTTCGCATTGGCGAATTCCTGCTTTGCGGCAAGGGGATTGAGGGGGGGCCTGACGAACCAGCAGACCCTCCCTGTCCTGCAGCTCGTCGAGCTCCTTCTCGGCAGCGGGCCGCGCCACCGCGAACAAGTCCTCTGCAACTTTCGCTGCGCTTTCTGGGCCGACAGGCCAAGGGGGGTAGGGGGTCCCTCCTCCGTCAGCTTGCTCACCGCTTCGATGTTCGGAGCCATCCTGGTGAGCTCGAGAGCAGAGCACTCAAACTCCCGCCTCCCAAGGCTGCAAAGCTGCTTCGAGGCCAGGGATTCGGAAGCGTAGTTCTCGAAGCCGAGCATGGCCGAGGCTTTCTTCCCTTGGCGACTGCAGCTGAGGGACTAGGGCTGGCAGGGTTGCGGAATTGAATTCCGCAGGTCTTTGCATGTCACGTTCCATCTGCAACACCGAGGCCACCACGCAGCTGCAAGATCTCGGTGATAAGAGGCCCGTTGTCCGTCTTGTCGGAAGAAGCCTTCAGCTTGTTCCGAGCAGTTGATGTCCATTCCAATCAACTCTTCGCAGCTTAAACCCTGAGCTGTCCGCGCGCGAGATGAAAGCACGGTAAAGCCTGGCTACAACCCACGCATTCACAGAGCAAGTGACAAGTTCCGACAAGAAACCTGAGATTCGTTTAGTTATGTGAAGTTAAGTCAATCGAATATATACCGACTGAACTCCGTGCAAAGCATACGCAAGGGCTAGATTTCAGACAGTCACATGCTGTTGTACGTATCCTTCGACACCCAAGAGGGTTGGAAAAGGCCTGGCCCGTATTTCCTGTGTCCTATAGTAGTGTTTATAGTTTTTATACACAATACACTATATACTATATACTATGTACTATATACTATATGCTATATACTTATACTTATACTTGGCAATTAAACCACTTATACCTTATAACTTATAAATACCAGAAATAAGAAGAGCTTGACGACAAGAGATGCCCGCTGACTGTAGTCACTCTAGTCATACTCTCGTCAAGTCTAGTCCGGAGCGAATGGGAGATGGGGCTGAACGTGGCTATGCGGTATGGGGGAAAGGAGAGATGGGAGCCCCGCACAGAACAGAGCAGAGCCGGAACAAGCAGAGCTCAGACAGATCCAAGCAGCTTCTCACGCAGCTCGGAGGACTTCAGGTGCTTCATGGCGGGAAGGTAGGAAGGCCTTGTCGGGGAGAGCAAAGATGTGAGGACGAGCCCTTGGACAGGAATCATCCGCCTCCAATAAATGGCCCTACTAGCACCTGGCCACCGCTTTTCACACCGAGCTGCATGTCCAGCGTCAGTCGCCAAGGACCGGACTCTGGAGTGGCCTCGGCGGCGTTCCGTCGTTCCGTTCTCACGGAAACATGTAAGGCAGAGCGTTTGGTTTCAGGTTTCCCAATTGCAGCAGCGGCCTCGGCAGGGGCGTCTTCCTCTTTCTCGGATTTGCCACTGTGTGCTTGATTGTAGGACTGCGCCGCTGCCTCGAATGCAAAGATACGACGACTCCTTTCTGCACTTTCCACTGCTAGCCAGAGCGGCCGCCAGAGCGCTAGCGGGGAGCCCTTCCACATCCTGCACATGACAAAAATGCAACGACGTCCTGCTCCGAAAAAAATATCGATCTTCGGAGTCCTTCACTTCTGTGAGAACCAATTCGAAGGCCTCGCAAGTCAAAGCCAACTCAGCGACTTCCCTCTCGTCTTGCTGAGTCTCTGCTCTGCCTTCGTTGAATCCAGCAGATTGTTCTGGAAAGTTGTACCTGCGATCACCGCTCCGACAGCCCAACCGCTTGAGGAATTCGATGATCATAAGAGCAATAAGTCTCATTCCCATGTTCGAAATGATATGCTGCTGAACAGCTTCGCAAATCGCGCCAATCGGTATCGTCGCATTCGTTTACATGCTCCTGTCAGCAACCTCTCTGCTTTGCAGAGGGCTGGACTGGAGAAAGCGGGTTTGCTGCGAGCAAGAGCATCTCATGTCAGCTTCGAACATGAGGGCCCTTCGGAGCAGAAAACGATGTCTGAGACCCACGGTGGGCCCAGCTCAATTGATGGAAAACAAACGTCGCTGCCCTCCTGTGAAGGTAGCGACACTAATTCAATCCAACTGCGATCAACTAGTCCGGAAAGGATCTGAGCAGCAGATCCCTTGAGGTGGACGCCGTGCTTGGCAACATATGGCAGGCATATCGTCGGTGCCGGCATCCAATCATGCAGACTCAGAAGCGGACGATTCGCCATCCCCGCTTTCGGTGTGACTCGCGTCTGCTTGCAGCTTGGCCTTGAGGGACTCGTCAAGGTAAGAGCGAGTTGGGCTGTGATACGCCTTCTGCTCATGGTGCCTGAGCAAAAAGGCTCACAATTTCTCTCAGAATGTCCTCGCTTGCGCAGCTGAGTCACTCATGCAAGTCCACATGCAAGCTCTCCGGATTCAGAGGCATGCAAAGGCTGATAGCCTGGAGCGTCGCACAAACTCACCATGCCAGTAAGACTGTCACCTTCGGTTTCTACCAGTAGATCTTGTTACGAGGTTTGCCCCTGCCCGCCTTGAGAATGATGAGTGTGGCGACCACAGAGTATGCAGCGCAAAGCAGCACAGCCGCTGTCTGCTTACCTGACAAACCGAAGCGGACCAGCTTTAAGTCAACAAGAAAATCTTAGTGGACACCGGGACATGTCGAAGTCGAAAAGTTGCAACTGTACTGTTTTGTTGGCATCCCTGGCCTGTCTGCGATATCGATGCCGTTACGGTCCCGGGATTGATGCAAAAGGCCGGTGCTGTGGCCTCGCACAGTTGCACCGCTGTGGGCATTAGCCTTTGCGTCTGTGCCTGTGCTCGTCTAGGTTTGTCGTCTGCTCCTTGTCGGCGCACTCGCTGCCGTCTGCCAGGGCACCGAGCCTGGCTCAAGAGTCTCTAACACAGTGCATCGTCGAGCTTTTCCTCAACAGCCGTTCGAAGCGCTTGTTCTGCGGCTGGGGGACAGGATGGCTCCAATGAAGCCACCCATGCCGTGGACACCCCAGACATCCAGGGCATCGTCTAGCTCAAGCTGGTTGATCAGCTCAGTACAGGCGTAGCAGAAGAATGTCGCGATGACGCCCAACACGAACCTTGTCTTCATCTGTGCTGAAAAATCTGCAGGAACAATATTCTCAAACGGCCGTTTTGATATCGCTTAACGTCGATGAAAAGCAGTTGCTCTCTTTCCCCCCTCACACTTCTTTGCGGCCCTCAAACGCCCCCCATGGCTGGACGTAGCCGGCTGCTGGGGTAATCGTTGCAAACCCAGCAATAGCCCCAACGCAGATTCCTGTCAAGGTAGTGGCGATTCTAGTGGATTGTAACGGCCACATGTACACGCTCGACCTCTTGCATGCAGTCCCATCATCTTGCAAGCAGAGTCTCCAACAAGCGACGGCTTGCCGAATCGAATCCATTCGATGATCTCAGCTCTTGCTGCTCACCCCTCATGCATAGCATAATGGGATGCAGCAAGGCGGCCAGCCAAAGAAAAAGCGCAACAGCCGCCGAGATCTGAGAGTTCACCGCCTCGGTTGCCAAAGCTCTCTTTCTGTCGCGTGTCCCCGACGGCCCCGAAACCTCAATGCTTGCTGATGCATTCAGGCTTTGATCATCCATATGACAGGTAACAGCTCCTATCGCGACACCGTTGGCCGCACCTGCCGAACCTTCGCGGGATCACGGATCAGCTCAAGTCTGTTGCCACCGGGCTGTTTTGAATCCCGCCTCCGTTGAATCCAAACCATCCAAACCAGAGCAAGGCTGTGCCCAAGGCCACAAACGGAATGTTGTGCGGAGTATTGTGGATGTGCTTCTCGTCGTCCGCGATCTCCCGATGCCCGATCACTCTCAAACTCGCGAGTGCAGAGAAGCCTGCCGTAACGTGGACGACGATACCTGCGAACAGTGTCCGACTCTCCATCTAATATCAAACTAGACGTGAAGTCCCAGAGCCCTGCACACTGCACAAGGTATGCCTCCTGCAAAGTCGACAACGCCCCACTGCGCAAGCCAGCCACCACCCCAGATCCAGTGGACCCATGGGAAATACACTAACCTGACAACTGCCCAAGCAGACCGGCTGCGACGTCACTGAAGCTAGTACAACCAATTGCTCAGCACCCCCTCAAAATAAACAGGTGGATGGCTCTTGGTCGGCCCATGTTCACAAGCGAACGGCGATTCAGCAAAGGATTCAAAACAAGTGCTTGAATGATGCCAGTCAAGCCCAGCAGCACTAGCCACAAAACCAAGAAAATAAGATAAGGCTTGACGCGCATTCGATCCGCAAATGAACCCGTCATCAAGGCAGGAGTGATAATCGCGAACATACCTGACAGCACTGCACTTTCCATAGTCCGCAAAACTGTGGCAAGGTCTGGGACGTGCCCAAAATCCAGCACTTCCTCTGTAACGATCTTGCAGCTCGCGAGGGGCCTTGGTAGGCCGCGAAGAGTTCGCTTGGAATAACCTGCCCGGGCAGCGCCTGAAGGCAGAGTCGTGCTTTTGTGGACACCGATTGCAGCAGCGAATGCTGACACAGGCCTCTCTCACGCTCAGATTGCGGAATCCGAAGTGTGTCCAGGGATTGCCGATGAAGCCCCAGCTCTCGGCAAAACACATGGAGAAGCCGAAGGCGAACCTGATCCATCAGCAGTACAGGCAAGCTTCATGTCGGAGTAGACTTGGCTCATGTCGACATTCAGCCGAGAATGATGCCAGGATGTAGCTTCCTAAACGGCATTCCCTTGCCCTCTAGGATTGTCGGCAGCACTGCTCGTGCTGTGAAAGTTGCCAAGCGAACTGCATACGGAAGAAAACTCAGTGGGCAACCAGACGATCATGGCAACTCCCATGGAAACGTAATTCTGCATCATCATCGTCAACACCTCAGGCATGGACGCTGTTAGCTGGCAAGCGTACACGCATTTCTTGTTTTTGGGGCACAGGTTCGAAGTTCGGCTTGGCTTGGGGCCGCATGTCCTTTCCTTGGTCTCAGCCTGCACCTTCACCAGAAAGGAACAACCCAGCGTCGTTGTGGCAAGCGGCGGTTCAACACATCGACTCTGACAAACGAGACGTCACGCAGCCCAGAACACTGAACTGAGAAAGCACGAAATTGCCGCGGCAGTCGCATCGTCAGAACACCCAACCCCAACATGCTTTGGACAGCATCTCAGACCGCAACATTGCAAGAAAAACAGGTGAGGAGCGTGCGCTGATACAGTCAGCTGACCTGCAAACACAATTGGCTGAGCACGGCACGCTGGTCTCCTTCACCAGACCGCCATAGAAAAATGCCAAGCCCGGTGTCATTAGCATAACCAAGGCCATGGCGACTAACATCCACGCCTCGAAAGGCACCCCCGCGTGCCCCGGGCCCCACGGGTGCAGTTTGGAAGCGGAGCAGCCGAGAAAAGCAAGAACTCCAAGCTTTGTTAGACCGGCTCTTGAGGCCGGGATGAAGAAACTCTTGCCACTTCGACAGGCCGAGCGTCTGTACTCGCGGCGTCAACGCTGTTTTCGACGACCATGGCGCCTGGTTACGAGCTCATACTGAGCCCGCAGAAGTGACAGAAATGGCGATAGCAAAGTTCAAGGCCCGGCATGTCCCGACACATCCGAAAAGGCTCAAGATGCTTCGACAGCTTGAAGCTGAAGATGCAGGAAATCGTTTGAAAGCTCTGTAAATCCTTCTACCTTGAAACTTCGTGGCACAAGAACCTCTGCGCGCCTGGGTTGGAAGCCTGCTCTCAGGAGCAAGGAATTACCGTGACAGCGCTCTCGGTCTCCGCCTCAAGGATTCCACAACACTGCATCAGACACTGCATCAGGCTGTGAATCCTACTGCATCCTTCGACCAGCAGAAGTATGGGGAAAGCTTAGCAGTTGCAGCCGGGACTCTCCGTCCGAGTCCGGCAGGACTTCGCTAAGCTGCTAAGCCGAAACGGCTTTCAAACGTCGCGAGTTCGAACTTTGAATTCGGCCATCAGAGGAAAAGAAACCTGATTGGTCTGCGCAATTCCCTGATCAACCTGCCACTTGTTGGCTGGAGTGGCGGACCGAGTTCGGAGAGGCGCAGTGCCATAGTCTTGGCGACATGCATGCGACACCCGCAGGGGAACGAGACAAAAAAGCGCAGCTCTCCAACAAAGCAGACAAGGCATTTGGTGAGGCCAGGGCATTGAACTCTTCCTTCGCAGTCCCCTGCTGGCATTCAACGGCTCACGCAAGGCATGCATAAGCACTACTAGTAAGTGCGCACAAAGAACATGAAGACACACAATAAACGTCCGCGTCTTATTGAAAGATCTGCAAAACGGGGCTGGAGTCGCTTTGTCTGCTGAGTTTGGTGTGGAAGTAGCAAAAGGACGTACCGATCCAGTCCTGGATCGTGCTGAGATCCGACCTACTCATGATGGCACTACTCGAACCGTGGCATGCGGAAGCTCGCATCCGCAATCCCATTCGCTTCCCGATTGAGCTAGAATGCACCAGCCCGCCACTGTTCGTTCATGTAAATCTGTCATCGAGACTCCCCTGGCACCAGTTCGTTCGCACTAGGAGGCCCAGAATCATTCCCGCATGCTTCCCAATCTTGATCCGCTTCTTGCCGACATCTATTGCCTTCCTTTCCTTTTCATGGGCTTGGTGAACTTGCCGCCCAAGTAACAAGACAGTTATAAGTTACAAGTTCGTCGACCTGGGCCATGAGCGAGGACTGGGATCCACAAGCATTTCCCACAGATGTGACCCCAAAAGGGGTATTTGGATACAACTACGCTTTCGGGCTCTCGAGACCGCAATTCGCAGCAGGCTTTACACCAGAGGTCGGCGCAGCAGTATCAACGACAGACACAGGGAGGACCAGGACAACATGAAGAAAGTCTGCAACTATCTAAACTTGAGTGCAACGGGCTAGGACGAAAGCTCAACAATGGATAGAGCTGGCGACACAGGATTGGTAGAGACAGGCGACATGCACTCAGATACGTGAGTTTCGAGAAATCAACGAAATGCCCATGAGAGGAACTGGCATCACAAGCCACGTTGTTACCGAATCCAAAATCTGCCGGACAATGTAGTGCACAAATGCCCACGAAAGGAGCTGGACTCAGAAGAATCCGCATGTTAATGCTGCCCAAGATAGGCAAAGCATCTTGAGGCCCTGTTGAAGCTAACATCAGCATGAGAAGCATCAGAAGAGGCCCGTTTCTCCTACCGACACCCTACCGAAAGAGTGGCCATCCGTGGCAACGCGATTCTGGCCAGCCACGGGTTAGGCAAAAAACCACGCAAAACTTCCATTACCCACACACACACACACACACTTTTACACTTTGGCTTGTCACGAACTGATGCGAAGGAAGACAGACAGGACCAGACACGACAAAGACGGAACGTATCGACCATGTGAAATCACTTGAACGATTTTTGGCCACTATTGGAAACAACAGCTTTGAGGGTGCAATTTGGGCGGCCACTTCGCAGGTA